AAATTATTGCAAAAGTAATACAAATTAAAGACATGTATATTTTAATGAAAATATATTACCTGCCAAGCTAAAGCTAAGTGTTTCCCAAACTCGTAACCCTTTTCCTCTATTTCTTTGTTATGACCAGCTATTTTTAATGTACATTGGCAACTTTTCCCGAGCAACGATCCAGCGCCATAAATGTTTAAAAGCGTCCATTCCTTTAGTGCATAGTCCGTGCGCTCCTCAGATGGTATTGACGGTATAGGAAAATTTTGATTGTCTCTACGTGCTACAAATTCTGCTTGACATAAATCTCTTATTGCTTCCGATATTAATAACGTAATCTAAAAATATTATTTTTAAATTACAATTACTCTCTTTAATTTAAAAAATAATATTTTATATTTTCTTGTAATAAATTACAATGACAAACAGCTAAAAAAAGTAGCAAGTATATGTACTAACAGCCTGATTTTTTAGAGCTGCCAATTCAGTAAAACAAATTTTAAGTAAATAATCTCCACATAACAATGCTAATTTATTGCCGAGAGTTATATTGTCCAATTCTGTAGATTCCAGAGACTTTGCATCTACGTTTATGTTTACTAATCCTCTGTGTATTAAATTGCTAGTGCGGATCATTTCTATAACTTTTGCCAGTACTTTTTGACTGAAACATATGTGTATTAGGATCTGTCTTTTCTTCGTAGAAAAATATATTTTTTGTACTTTATCAGCAGTATTTAAATTTTTATGTACATACCTGTGTAATACGCCCACAACTTCATCCACATCTGTCGGTTTTGCATTCAAGTGGCCAGCAGCTTTGGAGATTAACAGCAAGACGAGACCAAATGTTTGAGTGTTATGTTGAATGTTATTATGACAAATAACCGTCCTATTGTAAAAAAAAGCACAAATAAAATTTTTATTTTTTAGAAAAGCATTATATTATGATAATTTACTTAGTTGTCTTTAATACAGGATGATTTGAGCCAACCAGCTTTTTTAAATGCAACGCAACATTAGCAAACTCGTCGCTTGACTGCCAATTTAAATTTAAGAAGGACGGGTTTCCGACGATCTTCTCTGCTTCGGACATAATTTTATTCCAATCCGTCTTTTGACTCACTGCCTTTTTGTTTTCAGATTTATTAATATTACTAAAATGGAATCTGTCTAGTGTAGAAATATATAATACTCTCTGAGCTTGAAAAATCTTATGTGACTTCCACAGAAACGTAGACATAGAACTGCTTCCTCTCCAAATCCTGAGCACGACTGTATTCCCAGACATCGTCTAATTTACTATTGAAACTGCTATAAATAATAAAAAATTTTAAAATTGGAGAAAAATATTATATCAATCAGAATTATATTTGTTAGAAAGATTCAGGATTATCAGGATAAACTTATGCATCCAGTAAGAAATGATTGGTTAAAAGAGATGACGAATTAATGTCTAAAATGCTTATTGATGTAGAGTAAATTGATTAATGAAACATTTTTGTGTTATTTGAATTAAACAATTATATTAAACATTTATTTAGACGTCTTGTTTATTTAGATAATTTTATCTAAATGCTTAAATTAATTTTTACACAGAACTAAACAAAACTGTATTGTCAAAATATGTTTCATTTTTCATACAGCATAACAGCAAATGTCCAAAAGTGGATCATAAGACATTTTTAAGACATGTTATGGTATGATATATGTCTGAAGACATCATATTATATATATATGTTTAAATAATGTTCTTTTTTTAGGCTATTCACGCTCACAGTGCTCTTGAAATCATTCTTATTATTTATCAATAATAATATTAAAGAAAGACAAATCATCTCTTGGTATAAAATTTGCTCGGAATTTGGCTACAATTTGTAGCAATTATACTCACCATCGCTGTGAGCGTGATTTGTCTTTCTTTAAATTAATATTCAAACTGTAGGATTCACTGCGTCCGATATCCGATGTATGTCCAATATCCAATAGAAGAATTATATGTTTTTTGGAAATAAAAATATTATTAGATTTAGGCACCCTAAAAAGAGAAGGGTTTTTCAATGGATATCAAATTGTTGTATATTAATCGGATATCAGATGCGATATCCTACAATGCGAATTCTACATTAGACATCTTAATTAATATCTCACTCTTGGATATGCATGTCTGGGTTTTTTTTTACGTAAAATACAATTTTGGGGTCTTTCATATAGTATTTAATTATTATTTTATTAGAACACATGAAAGAAGTTTTATAGTTTTACTCTTTTGATTCTGTCCTGTACAGTGTTTTACTTACAAGAAATATAATTTTGTCCATCTGGCTATGATGCCGCATACTGTTCACGAGTAAACGATAATGAAGACTTTAATAGACGTCTCTAATAGTCGTCTCTCTTATCTGGGTTGTGCTTATTTTAAGATTGTAGATAGCGAATAGGATAGGTGGAGATGGTGCGAAAAGGAAGATGGGAAAGCAATATCGGAATTCGGTGATGAGCGCCAATTGGGCCTGAGCTTCTACGATATGTACCGTTTTGATTTATGAAGACGGATAAATTAATTGTTACGTGTATTGCAATATTAGTAATACAATTCTTTTCAACAGAATGTCTTTGATTGCACAAAAGTAGTTATAATTCTTGCACAAACTTAACTCATGATTAGATCAGGAAATACATTCTCTTTGATATCATGTTTGATATCATCGCAATTCTTCTTTTTTTTTACACTTAAAAATAATATTATCACAAAAAGAGGCAGCATATCATTTGCACAAGATACTGCCAATTTATAGACACTCTTTCTCTCGTATGTGCTTCGAAAAGGCTGCATTCTCATTGGCTATCGTATGAAAACAAACATCGTAATTGTAAAGTTGAAGTTGAGTTAACTACGATGAGATTAAGACAGCTAACGAGCGTTACGATTCGTAAGAAGAAGATAACAATATATACATAACGATGTATACATATATTGACCTTTAAATTAACTCTTCATCAATATCGCTTACCAGCGAGCAGTATGCAGTATATACCTTATGGCCAGATATACGAGGCGAAATTCCATTTCTTGTAAGTAAAAAATTGTGCAAAATAGAATGAAAAATGCAGCGCATTGTAAAATTTCTTCCATGACAACATTATTTAAATATATGATGTCTTTCAGTCATCATACCATAACGGCTAAGTAGCAATCGAATGTGATTGATTTTTACAATGTTAAAATGCTATGTTAAAATGTTACTTAGCCGCTTAATGAGCGCTTGTACTACCGGTCTAGTGAGCACCATCTAATGTCACATAATTATGTTAATGGAAGTATTTCTCAGATGAAGCAAAAAGTTATAGACAATATTTATACATTGTTATATAATAATTATTATAATAATTTAATTTAATAGTAATATAGTTATATATGTTGAATAATAATAGCAAAACTTATAAATGTAACATCAAATATAAAGCACATAAATTTTTCTTAAATTGAAATAGGTATTATAATAAACTAACATTTATAAAAAATAATTTAAAAATATCAGTATTTTTATATATAGTACATTATAAAATACAAAAATTTAATATGTTATATATATATGTGTGTGTGTGTGTGTG